AAAGCCCATACTGTTACAAAATTGTAACACTTAAGAAGCGAGTTTTAAATGAGTCGTCACAAATTTATCAACCCCCTCCCCCCCTCCTTTATAGCGTGACGTAATTTATGGACGACCCCTAAGTGTTTTGGTTTTCAGACGGGTCCCATATGGTAATAAAATCTAGCATATTTGCTCGTTTGGGTATTATTTGGTTTTTATCAGGGCCTAAGAATCTGTTTGTTTGACGGGTTTCCCATAAGGTTCCCAATTGGGAATTTTTTATATTTTATAAAATTTTTATTATATATATATATTTATATATTTTATTATATATATATTATATATATATATATGTATATATATATATATATATATATATATATATATATATATATATATATATATATATATATATATATATATATATTATATATATATATATATATATATATTTATACAATAATATTTTTTTAATTATCAGTTTAAACCTATAGGCCAAAAGGTTTAAACTGATAATTAAAAAAATCATAACAAAACTTATTCGATGGTCGCCATTTATAATTCGTATTGTGCGTAAAATAAGATTAAAAATTTATCTTTTATGCACTATATTTTTTGTATACATTATATTTACATTGTAATTAAGGAGAAATTTTTTTTTTGATAAGATAGTCGATGTAGCAACACTTACGCATGTTTTAAATATGTTTTTTTTTACTTTGTCTAGGGGGCTTATTTGCAAATTTAGGGGCCCTTTTATAAATGTAAGGATTTTTTTTTATTTAGTATTTTTATTTAGATTTTTTTTTTTTATCTATTGGAAAAGTTTTTAAGACTTTTGGGGCTCTTATGACAGGTTGTTTTTTTTTTTTTTTGAATGGAAGGGGGGCTTGTATGTAGTAGCTACGGGACTGTATACAATACATATCAAATTATATACAATATAAATAAAAAAATATATATTTTTTTGATAATTTTATATAATTTATTTATCAGTAACTAAAGAAATGTTATCAATTTATTATATGAATCATAAGCATGTGCTTATCTATTACAAGTACATTTTAAAACGTTGATATAAACGTCGATTATAAAATTAAAGGTTATGTTTTTCTACCTTCGATGGTGAAAATTACATTTTTTAATTGCAGAGTGTTGGAAGAAATCGTAAGAGTTCTATAACATAATAAAAATAATGTATGTGTTACCTATAAAATTTAAAACTAACAGTTAAATTTAATTTTTTTACAGTTCATATTAAAACGAGATATTGTGTAAAGAGGTTTTCAAAGAAGTTGTTTTAACAACAATAGAAAAGCTTCTAATTCCCGAAATAACCGTGAAAGCATTCGATACATGATTAAAGAATTGTTTAAAAGTTTGCTTATTTTTGACAGTGTAATTTTAATTACTTTTTTTTTGAAATAAGCATCTATTTATATAAAAATTTGCTTTTTCTGTATGTTTTAAAAATTTAAACGTAGTTTTGCAAGATTTGCAATGGGTAAACCTCGTGGGACCCTCACGGGATACCCGGCGCGCATACCCATATGGGCCCCAGAAGAAAACTGCGGCCAAGATCCGGCGGGTTCCCGATGGGTTTCCCATATGGGTCCCATCTACAAATCCAAATGGGTCCCTTACGGTTTTAAAGTACGTGATTTGACTGGGACCCATACGGGATACCCAGCGGGCTAACCCATACGAATCTTATATGGAAACCGCGGCCATGATCCGGCGGGATACCGTTGGTCTTCCCATACGGGACCAAGTTGACAACCCGTATGGGCCCCGTACGGTACTCGTATGTCAATGTTGGCTGGGCAAGTATTGACCGGATAAGCCAGAGGCAGATACATTGTTTTTTGGTTTTTAAGATAATTAAATTCCAGACATGAAGCATACAGCAAACTTATATATGATTACTTATGTCGAGTTAGGATGCTTAAAAAAAGTTGTTTCATCCACTCTCTGGAATCAGCTCAAATATAGATTATCTATATTTCATGAATGGATAAGATTTTTTGTGTGTCATTCATATTTTATATAAAACACAAATTGAAAAATGGTTATTAAAAGGTGATAGAACATCAGATAAAGTTAATATTGCTCGAAAAGCCTTTTCAAATGCAAATATATTTGTTAAAACTACAGGAATAAACAAAGATTTAATAGTAAAGTTACACAAAATCCTGACTGGTATATCAAGTATATTCAAAAGAACTAACACTAACTTTGCATACTTTGTATGGAAACTGCAAAGCTCTAATAATGTTTTTTAACTAATTTTTTTTTTCTATTTAGTCACTCTTTGCAGAGCCTTACGAAACAGTATTTATGAACCAAGAAGTTCACTTTTTGTAATAGTAATTATTTTATTGTTTTATTATTTTATGTATTACTTTTATTATGCACTATTTTTATTATAATTTTTTTTATAGCAACCATTATTATAATAGTTTAACTTTGGTAAAAATTGTTTAAAGTTTAAAGTGCACCCGATCTTCTTTTAAAGTGCAACCGATCTCCTTTTAAAGTGCACCCGATCTTCTTTTAAAGTGCACCCGATCTCCTTTTAAAGTACACCCGATCTTCTTTACTTTGTTTCATTCGGTATACTATATTAGGTTTAGCATTTATAGCACAATTTCTTACTTTTTTCACTTTTCTTTACACAGCAGTTATCTAACCATGATAAAAGGTTTTTTCCTAAGTAAATTACTTACAATAAAAAACAGAGATGTAGATGGTGTGTGGCGTTTTTTGTGCATGAGAGAAAGAAACTTTGGCGCATGACCTTTTTGGGCAACTGCGTTCAACATCCTAAAACGATAAAAATAATTCTAAGTTAAACCTAAATTAGTTATAATTTGGTATAATATTACCATAGATGGAAATAGCTGATAAAGTGTAATCACCTGCTGCTAGATATCAAGCCTCCATTTGAAGTTCCAAATGATGAACATGCCGCCAACACCGGTATAACCAAAGCTGCAGGACCATAAACTTGATTACCAAATGTCTAAAAATATTTTTTGAATGCATGCGATAGAATAAAGTAAATTATAAAGTTTTTTAGTCACAAAAAATTAAATTAATTTAAAAAAATATATATATATTTTTATAGTAAAACTACGACTTCGTTAAGTTCGAGCTTTAAAAAAAAAGTAAACATAAGATGGATATAAGATCTAGACAATATAATAGTAGAAACATTGCATAAATTTAAAAAAATCGCATTAGTAGAAAAATTGTATAAATTACTTTTATGAAGCTTATACACCAAACATTCTTTTTTAGCTTTGCCTTTTACTTACCACTCCTACTGCATTTGAAGTGGCAATTTCTAATGGAGTCATTACTGTTAAGTATGCCGCATTAACGGTAAGATAGAACACTGTAATTATTATCATTCCAATCCACATAGCTAGTGGGAGATCTCTAATAGGATTTTTAAGTTCTGCTGCAATTGTAGGTAAGTTACTATATCCCCCGTAAGCCCAAAAGCCACCATAAAAAGCATAACAAATTTCTGAGATATTTGTCTTTGACCCTTTAAAAATTTGTCTGAAATTTTGGTAATGACCTAAAAAAATGTTTCAAAACTTTATTAAAAACATTTTTTATTATTTAAAAGTTTACTTTAAATAATTCAAATTATTTAGAACTTGAAGCTTTTTTTTTTAAACTACATGTTATAATTAATTTAAGATTTTAAAAACGAAAGTTTTGTTTTTATTACTTTTTGAATGAAAAACATGATTTTTCTATAAAGCATTGTATACGTGAAAGTATAATTATTTACATTTAAATTTTTAAATAAAAAAGCACAATTATACAATCATATGAAAAAATATTTTAGTTTGTGTCAATATGATTGACATGAGTATTTTATGAGTATTTTACCTTGAAAAAGTCGCACTACACCAGTAATTGCAATCATTAGTAATGCCAATATTTTTATTGCTGTAAAAATCTCTTGAACAATTGTTCCTAAGTTAACACTAGCACAGTTCAAAATGAATATTATTCCTAAAATGCGGAAAAAAAAAAGTTTTTGAGTTTTTATACACTTTGCTTTTAAAACTTATATAGTTTGCTTACCAATGATTACGACAGCAATTATTTTGATGTATTTTTCTTCTATTTTGGCAGCTAAAACAATGTAACTTGCGCATGTTAACGCCACCATAACTAATGCCATTGGATATAATATTACCACATTTGTAAACCCAGATACAAACGCTGGTAAATCTCCAAAACCTTCATATACAAAAGTATAGTCAGAGCCTGATGACGTTGGAAACATTGTACCAAGTTCTACATAACATAAAGCCGAAAATAGTGCAAGTATTCCACTGCCTGCCCAAACAATAAGAATTAAACCTGAACTGCCAGAATAATTTGCAACTACACTAGGTGATACAAAAATTCCGCTACCAATTATTGTTCCTACAAGAAGACCGATGGCTCCAAACAGTGTGATTTGCCGTGTGAAGCCCACTTTTTTATCAATTAAATTTTGTGTATCACTTTGGTTTTTATTTATGATCAAAATCTTGCTATTACCATTTTTAGCGTTGTCTTCCACCATCTCACTGCCATCATTACCGCTTTTCAGCATTACAAATTTAATTCAGCTTTCGATTACGACTTATTTTGTATTTTTCATAAACTCTAAAACGTTAAGCTTTTATAATTATTTTACAATATAAACTAATCTCTATAAATATAATAATTTTATTACCTCTGACTCGACGTTATTATTTTTAAATTAAAAATTGCACAAACCAAAAAAATATATATTTACCCAGTAAGCACACGACGTTATTTCGACGATGATTTATAGTTGATTTTTAGTCGCGACGTCGTATAACCAAAAATCAACGTTGTATCAACGTTGAAAAATTTGTTTAAAACTATCAAATATAATCGACGTTGATTCCACGTTAATTCAACGTCTATATTACGAATTCGACCGTTCGTAATTGCAATATGAGAACTAAAATACGCATGCG